AAATTTATTATTATTATTGTTATTATTATTATTATTTTGTGTGTGTACCATCAAGTCAGAGCTGACTGGTACAGGAGGAGACTGCCCCTTCTTCTCCAGCAGAGAATCTGGTGGATTTGAACCACACACCTCAGGGATTGCAGTGCAGCTTCTTGCCACTAGGCCACCAGAGCTTGCCTTAAACATTTTTTTTAAAATGTTCTATGCTGGATATCGTCCTAGGTTCAGTAAGTGAGACAGAAGGATCTGTCTTTGGCTGAGTTCTCTAGAGAAGCAAAACTGATGAAGCTACAAACATACACACGGAGAGAGATTGACTTACGGAAACGGCTCACTTTCAGAGGCTAGCAAGTCCCAAGTCTGTGAGTCAGACATCAGTACAGAGGCTTCTCCTGACTCAGGTCGCTTCAGAGGCTGATGAACCTGAGATGAGTGACTCAGGCAGCAGGCTGCTGGCTTCCAACACCTATGGGCAAGGTAGCTCTGGGCAGACTTGACCTGACTATAAGCAACACACACACTCATTGCCAGCCAGTCAATTCTGACTCATACCCACCCAATGGGACAGAGTAGGACTGCCCCATAGCATTTCCAAGAGGCTGTAAATCTTTCCAGAAGCAGACTGCTTCCTCCTTTTCCAGAGGGGCAGCTGGTAGGTTTGAACCACCAACTTTCTGGTTGACAGTTGAGCACTTTAACCACTGCCGTCATCAAGTTTCAACCTGTCCCCAAGCCCTAGGCAAGCACTCAAGACAACCACTCATCTAATTTTTTTTTAACTTCTTATGTGCCATCGTATTGGATCCAACTGGCACAGGAGGAGAGTGAGATTACCTCTCCTTCTCCAGAGGAGCATCTGGTGGATTCAAACCACGTACCTTCGGGATCGCAACACAGCTTCTTGCCACTAGGCCACTAAAGCTCTCTTCCTGATTTCTATGTAGATTTGCCTCCTCTGGACAGTTCATAGAAACATACCCATACATGATGTGGTCATTTGTGGCGAGCCTCTGTCCATTCACGTAACTAAATTGCATTTTAGTTGGATTGTCAGGCTGCTGATGGAGCTCAGACTAAGAGGCAAGTCACTGAGGCAAAGCAGCTGAGACCCCAATGAGGCAGTGAATGCACCAGGGGGCATGTGACTAGGTGGTTGGGACTAGATTGGGGGCCCGAGGTGGTGGGAGGAAATTGGATTCCACTGAAAGCAGAGCCACGGATTGTGTGTTGGGAGAAAAATAGATAAGTGAAGCTGCTTGGACTGAGCCACTGAAGGAGGGGAAGGTTGCAGAAAGCCTCGGCTCTGGGCAGCGTGCAAGGCGCTATTAGGTGAATCTGCTGAGTAAGCAGCTGGATATAGGATCCCGAGTTCAGAGAAGTACAAGCTAGTAATTGAAGTCACTGACTTTATCCGCAGACTAGGTTCAAAGCTAAGAACGGGAACAAGAGCCCCAGTGAGCAGAGACAGGAGAAGCCCAACAGTTCATGACTGAACTGATGTGGACCAGTTATGAAATATTGAACCTCTATTGGAAAGAGTCTCCCTTCCCCAAGCTGGACCCCCGACTGCCCCAGGATCCAGCAATGCTGTCAGGAGGGTGGGAGTGGTGTCCCGATGACTCAGGGACTGGGGGTGGGGGGTGGGAAGGTGAATTGTTCACCTGAGGGGGATGGGAGCTGTCCAGCCCAGCAGGGTCCTCCAGGCTGCTGTCTCCAGTAATGAAGCAGCCATCAGATTGAATACACACTGCTCATGTACAGAGAGTCTCCCCCCAGCTCCGAGGTGTTAGAGCCTGGATGGAGCAAGAGGGTATGTACTCTGCTGCTTACCCTAAAGGTTGGCAGTTCAAACTCACTCGCCTGGTGAAATACTTGGTAAAGATTGTTATTAATGGCCGTTCAGATGCATGATGATGGTTTTAACATGTTTCGGAGTAGAGTTGCACCATAGGGTTTTCTTGCTGGATAATCGATATGGCGGCAGAAGGCCAGGCCTCGTCTTCCTCGAAGGACATGAAGACCCTTAACGAGATGGATTGACACAGTCACTGCTGCAGTGGGCTCATTTATGTCAGAGATGTTGAGGATGGCACAGGCTTGGGACAGGGGGCTTTCGGTTGCAAAGCGTGATCTCCCTTAAGTTTCCAATGGATCCTGGTATGAGCACGGGTGGGAGGTGGGGGGGGGAGGGTGGAAAGAGAAATCAAGAGCTTGTGAAGGGGTCACGCCCACTGCACCCCCGCCTCTCTCTCCACAGATCCCGCAGCCCACAGCAAAGGGAGCTCCAGCAGCCCGGAGCCCTGGGCCCGATCTTCTTGCTCCCCCCAGGATGGGGGCTGCCAGCGCCCCAAGGAGCGTGAGTCCCCGCCCCCTCCAGCCCAGCTGCCCCGTCTGGCGGTGTCCCCACCGCCCCCAGCCCCGCCCCCTTCCCTGCCACCACCTCCTCCGCTGCCACCTCCCCTTCCTCCCCCTCCTCCTCCTCCACCACTGCCGCCGCCGCTGCCGCCACCGCGCGTGTCGCCCTCGCCCCCCTTGCCGCCGCCCCCTCCTCCGCCTGCGGTCACGCCCACCGCCCCAGACCCCTCCCTGGACTTCCTGCGGGCCCAACAGGAGACTGCCAACGCCATCCGGGAGCTGGCTGGCACCCTGCGACAGGGACTGACTAAACTGAGCGAAGCCCTCAGTGCCCTGCTGCCCCTCCTGCCTGGGCCTCCTGCCAGCCCGCTGCCCCCACCGCCCCCGCCCCTGCCCCCCAGACCAGTCCTGCCCGCGCCCACCCCCAAGATGGAGAGCACCCCAGAACCCGTGTCCGTGGTGGCTGCCGTCGTGGACGGGGCGGTGGTGGCAGCCAGGGGCGTGATCATCGCCCCGCGGAGCGAGGAGGGCGCCCCCCGGCCACCCCCAGCCCCACTCCCACCCCACGACTCGCCCCCACACAAGCGGAGAAAAAGTTTCCCCACACGGAAGAAGAGGGGCCGCTGGAAATCTCCGTGAAACTGCCCTTGGGATCTGGCTTGTCTGCTGCCTTCTGCCTTCACCCTCGCCCCCCAGCTTGGCGCCATCGAGGAGGCCCGGGGCCCCTGCGCCGTCCCAGCTGCTCCCCGCTCCAGGGGTGCGCGCACCCCACTCCCTCTCCTAGTTAGTGCCTGATTCTCCGAGGGAGGGACTGGTGGATGGGCACCCCACGTTCCTCTCTCCAGTACAGCGCTGTCTGCCTGGCTGCTGCCCTTGCCTTCTAAGCCATCAATTTCCTCTTATTTATTACTGTCCTCTCAGGGGAGGGCGAACCTCACAGGTGGGCACGCGTCCCCTCCCCTCACCTCTCCTGTTCTTGACTTGAAGAGAATTTACCCATGGGGACCTCCCTGCCTCTCCAGCCCAGACTTCTGAGGGGGGGGTGTCTCAAGACAAATCAGAATGTGGATGGAAAAAATGGGGGTATTCTAGGGAGAGACCGGGTTAGAGTTCCGATAGGAGGTGGAGGGTGGACCCTCTGCCCCCCAACTGCGGTCTCTGACTCTAGAACTCAGCCCCTTCTCTCCCTAGGGGTGACAAGATATCAATAAACTTATTTTTAATACAGTAAATTGGGGCTCTGCCTGAGACAGATATGCACCTTCACCTGCCCCGCCCCTCCCCCTCACTGAGCTAGTTAACACTTTTTCCAGCTCCTTTCTCCTGCAAAATTTAAGAGATGAGTGGGTAAAATTTAGAAGATGAGTGGGTTTATTGTGGTTTTGGTTTTTTTTTCTTTTCCCTTTTAAAGCCATTAAGTCCTCTGTTCAAATGAAATTAAACTCCTCTCTCCATCCTTCACACATACTGACTTGAATGTCACCTCCTCCAGGAAAACCTCCTGGATTTCCTCCCCAAGACTCGGAGGGATCTGTCTGCCTCCTCGTTCCTTGTCAGCATCCTCTGGTTCTCAAACTCATTGCCATCAAGTCGGAACTGACTCATAGCTGACCCTCAGGTGTCTTAGGCTGTAGGTAGCCCTGGAGGAAATCTCCAGTATCTTTTCCCCTCAGAGCTGCTGTGGATCCAAACTGCCAGAGAGCAGCACAGCTTTCTACAGACTGGTGCCCTTAAGTGAACGTAGGTCTCTGCTTACGTGAACATGTTCCATGCATGATTTCATAAAGACAGGAGCTAGTTAGCTCTTCTGTGCCCCCTCTTGCTACAGGGCCTGTTAGCAAAGCAATTACCATGGCTCTGGATGCAGTCTGGGAAGTAAAGGTTGATAGTTCAGACCTACCCAGGGGCTCCTCACGAGAAAGGCCCAGTGATCTGTAAAATGACTCACTGCCGTTCAGATTCTGACTCACGGTGACTTGGCTGGGTTTCCAAGCCTGTCAGTTATCTTAACAGGAATAAGCTTCATCCTTCTTCCTCAGAGCAGATGGTGGATTTGAACTGTGGGCCTTTGGGTGGACACCCCAGATGGAATGCACTACACCACCAAGACTTATATTTGGTAATAATTAACAGCCTAGAAAACTTTATGATGCACAAACTTGAGGTAAAATGGTTTAAGCAGCAGTAAGCTTAGCTATTTTGTTTTAGAACTTAGCTTTGGCTTGACTCAAGATTAAACCAGCTATGTACCTTTGCCTAAAGGCCATACTTCCCTGCGCCTCAGTTTTCCTCACCTGTAAAATGGGCCTGCAGGGCCCATTCGGCACCTTGGCCCAAATAGCACTTTCTCCAAGAAGCCTCTCCTGACTCCACCCCAGTCACAATGTGCAGTTAAATTTTCGTCGGAGGGAATTTAAAATGCAATGTCCATCTCGACCACCAAGCTGAGCCTTTATCAGGGCAAGACCTTGGCCTGATTAGTTAGGTTAGTGGTGGGTGTCCGGCACAGAAGAAAGGTTGCATATTTGTTGAATAAATGGGCAAAAGTCCTTTAAAAACCCAGCTTCCACACACGGCCCAAGCACCATGCTGGTGGCACAGCCATTAGGCTGAGTTGCACGTAAAGGTCAGAGTCTGAAGCCACCAGCTGATTCGAGGACTGCCAAAACGATCAAATAAACATGCCTTGGGGAAAGTGCAGCCAGGGCGCTTCTCAGAGGGGAAGATGGCAAAGCTTCATCTCACAGACTTTGGGCATATTCTGAGGGGAAGCCACGTGGAAAAGAACATCATGCTTGGAAAGGTGGAGGGGCAGCGAAAGAGGAAGACTCTCAACGAGGAGGCTTGGCGGTGACAGTGATCGCAGGTATATATCAGAGATGATGAGGACGACACGGGACAGGGTGAGGTTCAGATCTGCTGTTGATACTTGATTCTAAGGAACCTAATGACAACAGGAAGGATGGTGATGTCTGTTTAAAGGTGGTGGTTGTTATGTGCCATCGATTCGCTTGTGACTCATAGCAACCCTATGTACAAGAGCTCTAAATGCCGTTCTATCCTGTGCCAACCTAGCCATCTAAAACACACTCATTCCCACCACTCCACTCACAGAATTGATCCATCTCATCGAGGGTCTTCCTCTCCTTCGCCGCCCCTCCACTCTCCCAAACATGATGTCTCTCTCCAAGGACTAGTCCCTCCTTGCAACTTGACCAAAATATGTCAGACAAAGCTTCAGAATCCTTGACTCCAAGGAGCATTCCGGCTTCACCCTCTCCAGGACTAACCTGTTTGTTCTCCTAACAGCCCATGGTATATTAAACACTCTTCTCCAACACCACAGCTCAAAGGCATCAATTCTCTTTCTATCATCCCTAGTCACTGTCCAACTCTCCAATGCATAGCACGTAATTGCGAAGACTATAGCCCGGATCAGGCTCACCTTAGTCTCCAGCCTGATGTCGTTGCTCTTCAGTACTCTTGAGAGGTCCCTCACAGCTGACTTTCCCAATGCAATTTGTCTCCTGATTTCCTGGCTGCTGTTACCAAGAGTGTTGATTGTGGAACCAAGTAAAATAAAACTGTTAACTATCTCAAACTCTTCACCATCCATACTGATGCTGCCAATTGGCCCAGTGCTGAGAATCTTTGTTTTCTTGATGTTGAGCTTCAGTCCATATAGGAGGCTGCAGTCCTTGACCTTCTGCAGCAAGCGCTTCAGGTCCTCCTCAGTTTCATTGAGCAAGGTTGTGTCATCTGCCTAACGCAGGTTGTTGAGGACTCTTCCACCAATCCTGATGCCACATTCCTCCTCGTGCAGCCCAGCGTCTCGGATGATCTGTTCTGCATACGTACAATGTTTAAAGGTTACAGCCTCACAATACTCTTCCCCTCCTCCCTAGGGCTGTTCTCTGTCCTATAAGGTCCTGTGGGAAGGATTTGACTGCATGACGATGGACTTGAATTTTGGTGTTTTACACTGTAGAGAACTCTGCTCACTTAGAAAAGTGGAACATCTGGTGGTTCAAATTCACCAACTCCTCAGAGGGAGAGAAGGGAGGAGTCATCTTGAGTGCAATTCACAGCTTCTGTAAATCCATCGGAGGTTTGGCTATGAGTCAGTTCTGACTTCACAGCAATGAGAGAGAGATTAGAGTAAAGCTACCCAATAGAAACAAAGGGTCTCTGGGTTATTTTTTTCCCCTCTCTCTCTAGAGGGAGAAATAGAAAGGTTCAGATAGGCTTAGGGACTTTCCTGAGGCCACAGTTGGTCAGAGACCAACTTAGTCACCCTGAAGCCTGCCTCTAGCCAGAAGTCTAACGCACCCTCCCACTATTTTCTAGAGAATTCTGACTCTAATAATTTTCCATTGCATTTCCCAGGTTGCAAATCTTAACAGGAGCAAACTGCTTCATCTCTCTCTCTCGGAGTGCCTGGTGGATTCAAACCCTGACTTTTTCATTTAGTAGACATATAACCCACTAGGCCACCAGGACTCTTTTCTCATTATCCAGTTTCCTTCAAGTCAGTTCTGACTCACAATGACCCCGAGTTCATCAGAATAAAACTGCCCCACAGGATTCTCCATGGCGGATATTTTGGAAGCAGAGCACCAGGCCTTTCTCTTTAGGTACCTTAAGCAGACTCTAACCTGGTTAGCAACCCAGTGTGTGAACTGCACCATCCTAGGAACTCCTCACAACCTCAAATTACAAACATACTTTATGCTGCTGTGTTTTGTTTTGCTGGTAATCATTTGGGCTTGTTTTTACTTTGGGTTTTTTTTTTTTAAAAATCAATCTTTTTAGAATGCTATTGCACACGTCATGTATTACAGTATAGTGCAAACTTAATTTTTACTGGCCCTGGGAACCCGAGAAATTTGTGTGACTCGCTCAATGGAACCAGACCTGAAATACCTGTCTCTTAGGTATGCCTGTATTTCTGAAAAACGCCTGTGATCATAATTCTATATTTAACTTTAGTGTTGTTGTTGTTATGTGCCATTGAGTTGCTTGCGGCCAATACTGACCCTATGTTCAACAGCCCTAAACTCTGCTCTGTCCTGTGCCAATCACTGTCTCTGATACACCCATCCAATTACCCAAGTCACTGAATCGAATCAATCCACCTCATACATAGGGTACAACTTTTTTAGGTCATTTATTCACTGCACAGCAGGGGTCCCAGCAACACGGCAGAATCCCCCCCCCTTCTAGCTTCAGCTAGGTGCTTTGATATCTTTACTCTCCTCTAGATACTGGGCTATGTGTGTCCAGGCTACAATATCCTACTGGTGACATATTCGTAAGGGTACAGTGAAGTAGTCACAGGTACAGTGCAAAACGTCAACATCTTGGGTTTATCCAGAATATAGTGCAAAACATTTACATCTTGGGTTATGACGGGTACAGTGAAAAACGTTTACATAAACAGTAGCAACTACTATTCTGGGAAACGGGTCAAGACAAAACTTTAGCACTTGGGGCAGAAATTTTCCACACAGAGGATTTGGTTACTCAAATGGAGTGAGTGCTACATAGAATGGAGTCTGTTTGGCTTCTCAGTGCACGTACTAACAGTGGTTGTGTACCTTGAGTTAGAACCAACCCATAAATGACCCTCCAGCAGGTTTTCAGAGACAGTGAATCGAATCGACTGTCCATCTTTCTTCCCTGGAGCAACTGATAATAGTACTTGTGGTTGTGTGCAGAAGAGTCGGACCCACCCACCCATAGTTGACCCTCCGCCAGGATTTCAGAGGCAATAAACCACACAGACTGCCCATCCTTCTCCAGGGAGCAGCTGCTGGATTTGAACCTCGTGACTTAATATAGTGTTAAAAAATAATAGTGTTTAAGTAAATATTTTCAAAGCACATTCATTTCACAGTGTGAATAATCAGAATACAAGTGCAAGTGAAATTGCGATGGCAAGGGAAGTTTGGGTAAGGTGAAAACCAGAACTGCGCAGAAGTTCGAATGAGGGGGTGAAGCGATCAGGCGGATTAGTTTGCAAATTTAGTGAATGATCCAACTCTAGCAAGTGGCTCAAATATTTCTGTCATTCAAGTATTTTTTGATCGTGTACACAAAAACGTAGGTCTAGAGAAAGGGACTGATGTGGGTTAGAAACGCCCCTTCCCCAAGCTTGCCGCACCCTGCCCTCATTCCGGGAAGAGAAAGTTTGGGGGTTCCTAAAGTCTGACTGGACCTAACAGGTAGTATGCACTCAGTTTATTGGGGGAGGTGATCGGGTGCTTGCTTTTGCCCAGCCACAGATACCACCTAGCTCGCTACCCCGACCCCCTTCCCTTCTTCCTTGGGGGAGCAACAGAGAATGAGGATTCTCCAAACCCTGGGGAGGGGGTGTGGAGACCCACAGACAGCGGAGACCATGAAGGCCTTCCCCCAACCGCCCAGAGAGAGGAAGTACGTCAGTTTATTCACCCCAGACAGCATTCTGGTAATTGTAGTGAAATCAGAAAGGGGCGGTGAAAGCAACGGTGTAACCCCTTGAAAGCCGGGGCGTACCAGAGGAGTTAGAACAGAGTTGGAGGGCACTCGGCTCTCCTTTACCGGGTGAGGAAACTGAGGCAGAAACCTGATCCCGAGGCCCTCAGTCGCCTCCTTTCTCCAACTTTTCGCGGCCTCAGTCAGGGGGAGCTATTCAGCAATCTCACAAGAAGAACCTTGTGCCTGGTGGATAACCCCCCTTGTATTTGACAGCTTCCCCAGCTCTAAAACCGTCCAATAAGGACGCTCTGCTCCGCCCCACGAACTGCTACCTTCCTAACCCGCCTATTGGTCCACTTTGATGGGCGGGGAAACTGAGATTCACAAAGGGCAAGACTTGTGCTCAGAGCTGCACAGCAAGTCTGCGCAGGCATGGACACTGGTCAGGCTGTGTGTCCAGCGCAGTTTCTGCAGTCATTGTAGCTCTGATCATCCAGAGCACATTCCCATTCCCAACCCTGGGGGCCCAGCTCTCGGGGAACGTCCCGACCAGTGGGAGAGGAATGGAATGATCGCGCGAGGAGAGGTCTCCGGCCTCTCTGCTGCCCGCCGGCCCCTTTAAGAGCTGGCCCCTGCGGGACTACGTTTCCCAGAAGGCTCTGCCTGCGCGTTATGTAACTTTCCCTGCGAAACGGCCTCTGGGGCAGAGGAAGGAGGTGGAGGCGGTGGCGGCGGC